ATACTATAAGGAAATGTGTCCACCTATTAGACAATAACCTATAGAGGCAAAACCTTGCAACTTGCAAATTCCCTAAGAACAACCCTTTTTGATAATGTAGTTTACCCTCATTCAACTAAGGCGCAACCTTTACAATCTTCTAGACTAGCGGATGAGGAGATAAGCCATGTTATATGCAAATGTGTTCCCAGTGAGGCAATTTACAACCTAGGGAGGCAATGGGTTGCGTTGCAAAATGGTACAGGCCCCTGTGCAATATCACATCTTCAAATACTCTCGAGGTCCGTGCATCTCCAATGAAAACTTGTGTTCTACCCATGTATTTTTGTTGGTTATCTTTTCAGCACAGGGATTTTCTTTCTGTGGGATGATTTTTCCATATAGCAAAGATGCAAGGAATTATGGAAAAAGTAATCCAATGGCTCGTTTGTAGAATCATATTTTATAAATTGACATTCTGACAGCAATTGTTTAGTCTTAATACTAGCAAATTTTGATAAATACACATTGTAGATTTTAAACTTGCAATCCATAGAATTACTATGGCAATAACCAAACATGCTGCACTATATACTGTGCTTATGAAATAAAAAATAATAGAATGAGGTTCTTTCATAGCTGCTTTAAAATCTATACACAATGCAATATTGAAGATAGTTCTAACAAGTCAAGGATAAGTAATTGCTTGTGCCTGGCAACTCTGCTTATACTCTACAGTCCTTTTTCCGCCAAAGATTATCATATCAGAAAATAATTATAAATACACACTGACTAAATCTCAAGACACTAGACAATTTCTCCACAGTCGTTTGGATACAAAAAAGAAGTACCAACATGCAATTTTGTAATTTTTCTCGCAGGTATCAAATTCTCCATAGCATCTCCTGAAGCCAATTACGGTTTGCAATGGAACTTGCAGTTAACATAGGAATTTGAACGCTAACAATAATACCCCATATTTAATAACCAAAATAAGGGAGGAGAAGAGAAATCACGTTGAGATTAGGTTGCTGAGGATCCTCATCAAGAATCGCAAAAACGTCCCCAATATCCATCGAGAAATCATTGAGATAGTCATCATCGTTGATCGCTCCATCGGAATCGAACAGCATCGTGCCTTGAGGATTGCCCGCTGCATCGGCGCTCATCATCGCTAAATTTCATAAGAAAGGGAGATAGAGGGCAGAAGAGAATTGATGTTGCCTTAAATCAAAAACCCTAGATTTTTCCGCGTCAATTGGAAACCCTAGTGGGAGAAGGATTTGGGGATGAAGGAGAAAAGGAAAAGGGCGATGGAGGAGAAAAAGGGTTAAAAAAAGAAGGAAACAGGAAAG